ATCAATATTGGTGAGATTTTGCTGGACTTATGTGACTCTTTTCACGCTCTCTTTTTCTGTTCTTTCTACACGACTTTGTATACCATATCATTTTCATGCTCTATTATTTTACTTATTTATTTTGATACTTTGTGTAAGTTTTATTTTCATTACATATTATTGTGATCTTTTTATTTTATATATTCTTTATTATGCTTATTTTATGTGTGTATACCTTATTCTCTCATTTTGCTATCTTGTGAATTTGACTTTTCAAAGGTTAATGCTTCCATAGTTGCACTTGCAAGTAATTTATTTGTTCTTTCTTTTTATTTGTAAATGTTTATTTCAAAATATTAAAAAAAAATATTTTATTTTCAAATAGTTTATTTGTTAATATTGAAATGTTTTGAATATTATTGATAATTTTATAAGATACAACTACTGTTTTTCGCATGTTTGTATCTTGTAAAAATATAACCTAATAATATTTTTCTAATATAACAACATTATGCAAAAAATATAAAAAATAAAATCAATAAATAATTAGATAAATATATCTTAATTTGAGTTGATTATAAGTGTCGTTATAGTAGAGATGTCTAACACATATTTGACCTTGTACTCTTTTAACAAACAAATATAAGGCCCTGCTCGATTCGACTCGTTGAAGCTCGGATCGATTTACTCGATCGTTTAATAAATCTAAAATCTTAAACAATTTGTTCGTGAATAACTTATTTCGCATAAAAATGAGTTTATTCATAAATTTTTAGAGGATTAATATATACAACATCTTTTTGTTTTTTCATTTATTTGTTTATATTAGTTATTATGTTACGTTTATTAATATTTTATTCAAACATAATATTATAACTGCAAGTATATAAAAGTCTCAATAAGTTTTAAAAAGTCCATTATGAAAGTCTTAAAAAGTCACTGATGAAAATTCTCTGTAAGTCTCAAAAAGTCCACCAAAGTCATGAAAGTTCTACAAAATCCACAAAAGTCATCAAATTTAAAAAGGTTTAAAAAGTCCTTAAAAATCTCAATTGAATACACCCTAAGTCAATAATTGTGTTTTATCTTTTATCTTGAATTCACTTCTTTATCCATAATTAACGAGTCAATCTCAAATCGACTAAACTCGAGTTTTAATGAGTTAAGTTACAGAAAATTATATAAAAATTATTCTCTTTGAACTCAACATTGAGTCAGTTTTCCTAAATGAAATTTAAACGAGCTCGAGCTGCTCAAGTCGCTTATCAAATGAGTCGAGTCGAAAGGAGCGGATCCTTTCGTCTGATTAAACTTTTGTGACAATTGATAATTAAGAACTATATATAAAGATAAATTAGTATTAATACCCATGTACAATATGAGTGTTGAGTTAATGAATATATGTCTAAAGTTATTTATGTCTAATACCAAACCTAACTACAAAGTAAAAATAATATAAAAAAACATCACGAAGCATAGATTTTCGTCATGTCAGTATCCGAAGCGTGAGAATCTGCCACATAGACTCAACGGGGAAAGATGAATTTGATATTTTACGAAATGAACATAATTTGTTTGACTTATTAGTTCAATGCTCACCACTTATTATATATCACACTCAATTATCCCACCAATAAATAAAATAATAAATCATACGATTTATTGCACATTTCCACTCCACTCCATTCACTTCTTTTACAATATATGTTTTAAATTAAAAATCAACTATTACTATACACATCTCTATATAATTTATTATTTACCCTCTCATATATTTATAACTACCTATTATTTTTTCTCTCAAATCACCAAAGTATTATAATTTATATTACATCATAATTATTATATTTTAGTTTAAATTTTATAATTTAGTTTACAACTTTATTTTTAAATCAAGTTTTAATTAATGACAATTTTGTTCGTACTTAAACCTTTGGGTATAGGCACTAGGGTTTAAGCTTTCTTCCTGCTTAATCGTCTCGTCTTTCAGTCTCACACTAGTTTCATCCATGGCTACTGCTCTCAGATTCCTGCTTCAAAAAACGACTTCCCGAGCAGTATGTCCTTCTCCGGCAGATTGTCGTTTTGACCTCTCCCTCCCCAGAAAGCTGAGCTCCTCCTTCCTTTCTAACGGGTCATTTTCGAACCATCGGGGATATTTTCGGTCAAGAAATTTCTCCACTGAGGCATCTGAGGAGGTGGTCACTCAAGATTTGAATTCTTCTGTTGCTGCAGCTCTGAATCTCGACAATCGTGTTCCGGCCACCGTGATCACCGGATTTCTGGGCTCCGGGAAGGTTAGAAGTTAATCCCGCGCGCCATTGTTTTTCGTAGTTTATTTGGTGATGGGATGTTGATTTTATGGACTACCGAAGCTTGGATTATTGTTGCAATGATGTTCTATCCCTTTTCGGGCTGGAACAGAGAATTATTGTGGACCATTTTGGTTTTTAAGAATAAGAACCTTCCTTTCCGGTTATTACATTTTTATCTTTATTTTTTATTTCAGTACCAGCATGTAAGGTTTTCATTTTAATGACGTAAAGTTGAATGTCCATTACAAATGGAGCTGGAAGAGTCATTGTTGACAATTCTCCTTGCTAATAATGGACTAGATCAAAATGGCTCAATTAAATTCTAGTGCTTCTTCTATTAGTGAAGTCTCTAGAAAAAAAAAATATACCAAACGACGCAATGCACCTTGGGTCGCTACGGAAACAGCCTCCTTGTATAATTACAAGGGTAAGGTCTGCGTACAACTGACCTCCAGACCCCAACTTGTTAGGAATATACTGGGTATGTTGTTGGTTTGGACGTAAAGTTGAATGTGTTGTGACTAAAGGGATTCATCAGCTTGTAGTCAAAGTGGTGGTGCAAACAGAAAATGTGTCTTTGATCATGCATTTTTCTGCTTATTATGTGATAGGTGATTGAATATGGACTACTGATTGTGGACAGTTTTGGTTTTTATGAACAAGATCGTTCCTTTTGAGTTATTTCATTTTTATCTTTGTCTTTCCAGTGAAGAGAATATTCACCTACCAGTATGTGAGGTTTTGTATTTTATGGCGTAAAGTTGAATGTGTTTGTGATTAAAGTGATTCATCATCTCGTGGTCAAAATGGTAGTTCAAGCAGAATAATGTGTCTTGGATCATGCAATTTTCAGCTTATTTATAATGTTTGACCGATTTATTAGAAAAGATTATTTCTTGTTTGGTTTTTTCCCTTGTTTTCTCCGTTCTATGCAATCGAATTAACTTTATAGGCCTGATTGCATGGAATTTCTGTTGATGTTTTTTCCACCATAACATGTTATTTTTTTCGAGGACACTTTTAAGCATCTGCGGCTTGTATTGTAGTTTTGCCTGTATACCTCATGCTTGTACATTTTTTTAGTATATTCAATGTTCTGAAGATCTTCCATGGCTTTACAATGCAGACTACCCTTTTGAATCATATATTAACATCTCAACATGGAAAGCGGATTGCTGTCATAGAGAATGAGGTTTGTTTTTTTTTTTTATCTTTCTGGTTATATCATAATATCCAGCTTACCTTAGTGGACAACTTTGCACAAAAGACTAAATCGGAGGAGATAGATACTCAACTAGTAATGAAATAAGTAATAAAGCAGAACATTATTCCTTTTACGGTTGTCCCCGACTATTGAGACTGATTCTCTGTACAAGTTCTATATTTAGTGTTCGACATATATACAAGCTGGCCAACTTAGAGTTTTGTGATTTTCTGGGTGCAGTTTGGTGAAGTAGATATCGATAGTTCGCTAGTTGCTAGTCATTCCTCGTCTAATGAGGATATTATCATGGTAAATAATGGTTGTCTATGCTGTACTGTGCGTGGAGATCTTGTCAAAATGTTACTAGAATTGGTGAAGAAGAAGAGAGATAAATTCGACCACATTGTCATCGAAACCACAGGTATGTTAGATGTGTGAATGGGGAAATGCAATTGCAATGCATTCGTGTCTGTAAATCTGGCAAAGAGCATCTTGCATAATATATGGACAGACAAGAACTCTGACATATAAATGAATGACAAAATCATCCTTGAGATTGGACCAAGTTTCATTTGATGTTAAGATTATGGTCCTATAAATATTAAATACAGAAGGGGCTTTTGAATCATTATTTGTGGACTGCGTAAATGTTATGTAAGAAAAAAACTAAAATCGCTGCAATATATTTGTGTATTAAAAGATAGCTTGATTCTTTTTTTTTTTTTGGCTACTAGCTGAAAACCC